AGAAAAGAAGAGAAATGAAAAAGACGTAAAGAGAGAGAAACAATTTACCACGCTGGAATCTCGCGATTTTAAACGAGCGTCAAGAAGTGCGACGCGTATCGATTAAAAAATAAAACACACCGCGCCGGTGGTTGAATCGTGTCTACACCACTTAAACCCATTCCCGTTTCAAGAGGATAAGGCGAGGAACGTAACACGCGAGCGGGTGACTCGAATTTTTTTTTTTCGGGTTCACCCGGCCACGTGTCACCGCGTTCATCTTGAAAAGCGGCAAGGTAAACTCATTGTTTGTACGCGCACGCACAAACGACATTATAAAACGCGCGTGTAAGGCTATCTCGCTGGCTCTATTCAAGAAGGTATTATGAAACTCCCTCGGAAAACGTACTCTTCGCTTTGTTTCACCTTTTATTTTGCTCTGCTTTAACCGGATGGCAGGAATGAAATCCGTGTACACGTGTGCGTACATACATATGTACAGTGGTGCCTCGTCGCGTGGCCGCTCCCCACTGTCGCATTTAAATGCACCCACACCGACACGTCGTTCGAACTGACACTCGTGCGCGCGTGTACGCACAGGAAACCAGCGCGTTTTCCAACTTCTACAATGCAGAATCGTCTCCCGTCACTTTCCCTTTTCTTTTTGTCAACCGTACAAAAGTCGGCTATAGACGAGGGAAGAAGACGGAGAGAAGAGCGGAAAAAGAAAAGAAATCTCAGGTTCGCGTTAATTCCGCGATGGTCGTGGCGTGTTCTAAACAACACGCGTGTGTCCACAACTCGTGGCGGACGTCGTCGTCGTCTTTGTCGCCTTCGTCATCTTCGTAGTCCTCGTAGTCTTCGTCGTCGTCGTCGTCGTCATCGTGGTCGCTTAAAGCCTCCTTTTGTGCTTTGATATTCAGCCGAGCCGGTGTAAACGAAACCTCCAAGGCACCATTCATGCCGCTTTTTTTCAATTCCGAGTGTACCAGTTTAAAAATGCCGGGCTACGCTGGTGTATACAGCGGCGGTGGCGCGCGTCTGCTGGCTCGCAAATGGCGCGATACGAACATGTTCCGTTCAAGCGGCAATGCACCAACGAATAAACGATAAAAGCGTCGCCTTTTTGTAAAACGCGCGCGCGTACCGCCGCGTACTTTCTTCGGCGGCGTGGCCGTGCGCGCTACGTGCAATTAGGTCGGGAGAATGAGTAATGCCGCTGCTCTAATCTCGGCAATGGGCGAACGTTCAGAAAGTAACGGACCCCGAGAGGCTGCTACATTCCATCGGGCACGTAAGAACCGCGGAAAATCTGTCGTAAACAACCGTTGTACGGTTGTTCTATATCGGAGCAGCGACTGCTCGTCAGAATATAATTTCGCATGCAAACGAAGAAAGAAACCAACAATGCGTATAATACGCGTATACATTATAAACGACACGTGACTCGAACTCGCGGATCGTGGCACGGAAAGGAGGAAATCGAAACGACGGTGAAAGACGGTGTTAACGAATGAAAAAGAATCGAAGTTCATTAGCTCCCCACCCATGGGGAGATGCGGTGATTTCGTGAGCGGTGCGTTTGTTCCAAAGTGTCGGAGTGACGCGCGTACGGGGCGATTAATCTTCATTGAAAACAAAAGAGAAAGGAAACGATCAAATGTGTGCGAACTACACGCGGACCGACGTCACGGCCTGTGATTGTGGTTATTTATATAACAGAACTCTGTAAATCTCGCGTTTTAAACGACTGTGGCTCGCGCGCTAGGCAGCTTTATCGAGAAGCGTGATTTTATTTATAGAAAACCGATAATGACCATACGAATGCGATGTATCTTTTCCAAGTCATAGAACTGTTTACGTCCACTCTGGACGTGTACATACGTGACGGAGACGAGCAAGACGAATTTTAACAGAGACGACGCGTTCTTTTTTCTTTTTTTTCTTTTTTTTTTTTTTCGTTTTCGATAAAGGAGCAGCCAGTAAATTTTAACGAGCGCTCCGACTCGAACGAATCGATCGGTATCAGGCTAAGAAAATATTGCGAGGGCAATTCTCTCTTTCTCTGGACAATTAGAAGCATCTGATCTCGCTTAGATTTATCGTCTCGGAGTTGCCACGTTTCACGTTCGCGTTTTCTACGTAGATACGACGAATCGAAGGACTCTCGCGGGAAGATACGATCGAGGTTCGAGCCGTTGTACTTGCTCTAGCGTCGCGAACGATCCGACGATCGAAGGTCAGGGAATTTAATTTCGCAAGGTGCGAAAAACCTTGTCCCACGTAGAACAAAAGTTCGGTTCTACGATTTTCTAGGCTGGCAGTATCGCGGCGCACAATGTCCCCGGTTGTCACGGGAACACACGGGCTTTAATAACAACGCATTGTTAACAACAGCTCGACAATAGTTTCTTTTGATAATACGAACCGTTAGGCTTGTGTACGCGCGGTGTCCATTATCGGTGCCAGTTCAATGAAATCTTTAAACGAACCACTCTTTATTTCGCTTGTATCAGTTGTTTGCTCGGCGCTGTTTACGCCGTGTTACGACCGCAAATTGCTTTTGTATTTTTCACGCCTCTCTGTACGCGTTACTCTTTTTTCACCCCACTTCTCTTTACACGCTCTCGTCACTTTCCGGTCTTCCCTCCCTCCCTCCCGCCCGTCCGTTCCGCGATCAACACCTTGCCGCCGAAAAACCGTGTCGAAACGGAAATAAACATGCGTATATGGCGTGTCGTTTATTTCGTAAACAGCAACCAACAAACGAGACTCACACGAGGCCACTAATCGGCGGACACAAACTTATTAAGCGGATGTAGCAACACACGTCGCTAATAATATATTTTTCCTTTTAGAAAACGACTCTTTTTTTTTTTCATCATCGTCTTCTTTTTCTCATGTCGCTGTTTGGCTATTATAAAGCAATCAACGCGACTGCCTGGCCCCGAGTGAGTCTCATTCTAGATACGAGCCTCCTTTCTTGGAGACGCTATTTATACATTATAACCGCAAATACGATAGAAGCGTGCGTTTCGTGTCGGTCGGTTTTCAGTTCCATAAACTTCCACAGCGAAAGAACGAAAGAATGCGTTTTTCTACGAAACGGATCCGAGAGAAACGATATCGATCATTTCCATATTAATCTCCGCAGTGTGCGTCTCTCGTTATCTTTCAACGCCAGACGCCGCAAGTTTCAACCGCGACGAGGAGAGTTTTTAAAAAGCTGGCTCGAAAAAAATTTTCATCGGAGAATATAACGACCGTGGCGTACATACGACGAAAGCTTACGGTTTTCCCTGTTATTCGGTCCACCTTGCAAGTCGGCGCACAGCTCGGCTATAAATAACCAACTGTTTACTCGCTTTTGCCCTCAAACACTTTTTAATGTTTCTTATTCCACACGGAGGTCTAAAGACCCGACTGACTGGCGGCAGACGCCGCGTCCATATCCAAGTGGAAAAGTGTAACCTGCCTCGAATACGAGAGGAGAACATGAATGGAACGGAATCGTAAAGGAAAGTTTTATCGGGTACCTCACCGAGAAGAAAAAAAAAAGCAAGTTCCCGATCCCAAGTACCCGGATAAATAAACGACGATTTAGTACCGATCGTTACCACGATGTTTTCCATCTTCCGGAGAGACTCGGCAACGTTACACGTACGGACAAGAGCGTACGTACGGTCGAAGAAACCACGGTGGAACTTCGTAAAGTAAGATTTACTTCTTATCCACGGCTGTAAAACCATTATAAACCGAGACGCTTAATGGAAACTCGCCTCAAGAAATTTGACTTCCGGCCAGCACAGGCGGATTACCTCTGCCGTTTTATAAGCATCCTTTTTGTTGGAAATAACGTTTGCAACAGAAGACACACGTTACTCGGTGTAATTGCACGATCACTCGAACGCGATGGCGAGTCTTTCAAACGCACAGTATGTACATACGCTTCCTTTCCCAAAACTATTGCAATAAACTTCGATTCGACGGGAAGAAGCAAGGCTCGCGAGAGAAGAACAACTTCGTTCACTTGGCTTTAAATTTCGTCGAATTATTCTTTGACACTTAACGAGCCATTAAATCGCTCGGATTCGATCAACGAGACTGAACGAATCGATTAAGTGTGTATTTTCACAGAACGTTCCTGAACGAAAACCATCGTCGGCGACGATGGAATTATAAACGAGTAGGGCAAAATCGATATATAAACCGGTAACGAATCACTTTTTGCACGAAATAATTGCTTGCTGGATCGGTCACGCGAGTGACTTCATCGCTCTGGAAGGTATTCAAGGTATGCTAAACAAGCGAAACACACGATAAACTTAGGCGTCGTACACAATACCGTAGCGTCACGATTCATCCTTGAACTTCGTTCCGATTCGGTCGGAGACACGATCCTCTAATTGTTCCGTGGCAGTAATACAGAAACACCGCCGATTAGCGAAACGCGATTGAAACTGACTTTGCTCGACGTGATTCGATCGGAATGGCTCGGTGGAAAAACTTGGAATTGACTTGTCCATATCGGGGCGACCTGGAATTAGGCTGTCAACGTCTCTCGAGATCGATCGATATTATCGTTCGATGTCGTGCAGCCTGTGCACGTGGTTGCGCACGCGTCCCACGTGTAGCGGCGCTCCAGATTCGACGCGATGACGAAACGGAACGCGAGCGAGTACGTACGTACGTACGTATGTACATACAAGAGTTGAATAACGACGAATCGACGTTAAAGGAAGAAAAAGAAAAAAAAGGAAAATCAAGGCGATCTTACGCCAGACACACGCGTGTACGTAACCTCTATACGTAGCTGATGCTCGAATCCATTAAAAAACCATTACGATAGCCGTCGTTTCCGCATAGCATTTCTTTTTAGGCCGAACGAACGGTAAACAGTTATTTTCCTAAAGTTAGCGAGTGGCGAGGCACACACGGCCGTTCTCGTGCAACAATTAGACATTTACACACGGCAACGCGTCGCATAAATCTCAATAAAACATACGATAACGATTGCTTACTCACGTGGTAGCAGACCGCTGCAAGAAACTAATGATTCACGCGAGAACGCAGAGCACCTCCTCTTCAATGTACACGGATGTTAACAGCAATCTCCATCGTCTCATCGGTGTATCATTAAGGCGTACACCTGTTGACGAGGAGGAATGTTGTCTCTCTCTCACTCTCACTCTCACTTTCTCTCTCTCTCTCTATCTCTCTGCTCTCTGCTCTCTGCACTCTGTATATCCAATTTCCACGATGCCACCGATTTTCACGTGCACGAACAAACACTAATCGATTTTCCGGTAACGCGGAACGCGATAGAACCTTGCGTCATCACCGGGAAACTAGCTAACATTCTGCGTACCGAGACAAACGCAAGAGCAAAACTATTTGATCTTCGGGTATGGCAGGTCTGAACAGGTCTGAGGTATCTGAGGGGCAAAAACTATCAACACCACACTAAACGACGGTCCACTGAACTACGAACGAGAATGAACGCGAGCCGAGTAAACAAAACGTACCATATCACCGATGTGACTTCGTATGTACTTCGCACTTCCCCGCTAAACTCCTTATCAACAATAAATCGAACCTTCACGAAAATTTTCAAGTACATTGACCGATGAACTTTCACTTTACATCGCGTGATAGCTGGCAAAGGTTTATTGATATTCAAGACTAATAAACTCTGGTTTTTCATCGATGACACGAGTCACACTCTCGTAAAAAAAAAAAAAAAAAAAGAAAAAAGAAAGGAAAAAAAATCACGTGCAGCAAGAACGACAGCGAATCGAACGGCGGGTCAAACGGCGGGTCGCACGCCGAGCGCACTTTGCCGAAATACGGTGCCGACCTTGAAGTCACGCCGCTGGAAAATGGGAGCGAATCGGTCTCACGATCGATTTCAACCGCTTTTAAAACAGTTATCGGCCGCGCGTTATCCGTGCAACTGAAACGAGCGAGGTAACCGCGATCGATGCTTGACTCGGCTCGGTTGGAACACGCCGGTACCCGTCGACGAACGCCACCACAAGATTCGATAAATCCGACACACGCCGGAGTGCCAACATACACCGAGAGAAACAGACGGACCGATGGACGGAAACGAAGCACACACGAACGAAACGCCAACAGAAGAGAGGAGAACGTACGAACGGACGAACGAACGAACGAACGAACGAACGAACGAACGAACGTACGTACGTACGTACGTACGAGCGGAACAGGCGAAAGCCTGGCTGCTTCGTTCGGTGAACAGCCCGCGGCCCCCACGTTGTTTGTCTCGCGAGTGGCCTGTTTACATGTTGACTCTCTGTTTACGCGTTTTGTATCCCTCCTCCCTCTGTTCCCGCCGCCACCTAACCGCCTCCAATCCGCCACCCACCACCCGCCGCCGCCGCCGCCGCCGTCGCCGTCTTCCCGCCACTGTCCTCCCGCCGTGCCGCTCTAACCCGTGCGTCACCTATCGCGCCGCTTGTCCTTTTCTCTCCGTTAGACCACAAGAGGCGAGAGCGAGCGAGCGACGAGCGAGCGGGCGAGCGGGCGAGCGAGCAAGTCGGAGCCACCGCTCCGCCGAATAAAGCCGAGTTTACACTGACCGGCTACAACCGAGTACGAGCGGCCGCCACGAATGAACCAGCCGCCAGCCAGCTCTTTCGATTCCGCTTCGTGATCGTTCGTGACGCGTCGACCGGCTACCGAACCTTTCGCGGGCTCCCCTGTCATTTTTTACGTCGCCACGAGTTGCTCTCGGGTCGCCGAGCTACAGGTTGAAACGTCTCGCCTCAGACTCCAGCAGTTTTCGAGCATCTGACATAGAAAAAAGTAGAAATTTCGAAGCTGGATTGTCAAACGCGATTCTCCGCTAGCTCGGACAGATGACGTTTTGTCATTGGAATATCGAACGAATTTACGTAGAAACTGTATAACATTATCCGACTCGGAGTCATTGAAATAACTATCGTTCATAACGACTTATGCGTCTAATTTACTGTCGTTGTTCTATCTTCTTATCTTTACACCAAGCATGTACTTCGAACGATTATCAAAATGCAAATGCAAATAGCAAAGCCGATTAACGATATACTTGTTAGCCGTAGATGTTCACAGATAACGTTCCTACATTATCGCGAACAGTTGGAGTACATAAGACAGAAATTATCGTCGAATGCACCCTTCAAAGTACGTAGCACCCAGTTAAAGAAACATCCTGCAGATAATACAAGTGGCTTGCGTCTGTTGTTATCAGACAGTCGCGTGAACACGTGTACGCGACTCGCGGATACAAAAATTGCACGCAAATGACTCGCGTATCGATGAGACATTATCGTCTTAATGATGCGGCTTTAATCGTTACTTATCGTTCCTATACCTATTACACGAGGAGATTCGCTATATTAATAGCCAGCGAGACAAGAGCTATACCAGACACCATCGCGTCGCGCAACGACGTTCGTTTTCGCGAGCATCACGAGCTAATTGAAATTACACGGCACGTGCTTATTAAATCGTCGTCCGGACAATTTCACCGAACGTTTCGCGTTTAATTACATTCTCTTTCGATTCGTTCTCCCACTAGGCTTTCATCCGCCTAATCGGACGTTCTCGAGCCCGACGCTTCTCCGCGATGCTTTCCCACTCTTCAAATACTACCGAGACAACGTTTGCAACAACGCCGTTAACTTGTTTCACGATTAGATCATCGTAAAGTTTCTTGCAACGATGGTCATATGTCATTTGAACGAGACGGAATGTGTTGTTTATTAGACGTGTACAAGGACTGCCAACGATACAGAGTTATAGACAAACACGGCTGATAGTGCGTTACACGGTTTGCTGTCGTTGAATCATCGCGTTCGAAGTAGAACCGATCGAAAAAAAAAAAAACTCGAACAAAAGCGTCCGCGTTGGGAATCGAGCTTTAACCCACCGCCTACGTGCAACCGTGTGTGCCATCGACTTCGACGTTTCGTGCGTGGACAACGTTTTCTACGTTTTCTACGAACGCGTGACAGTACATACAATTCGTAGTATTGTCTCTCGCTGGATGTTACAAAAGCTGACACGTCGACGCAAACTCGTTTCCATCAACGAGCACTATCGCCGTATTTTTCACGCGAAGCGCTCGATTTCTTAGACACATTTTACACGATCTACCCGTACTAACCACCTCCAGTTTTGTATATCGGCGAGACAATCACACGTCCGCAAATGCGAATCTCCACGCGAATTAAACTCGTGAAACGTTTCCAACAATTTGAAAGAACGCGTTGAAAAGTAAAAAAACGAAAGTGACGATACCGATGAGTAACACGACTGACTAATTCTCTCGAGGAGTGTGATTCTTCGAGTGAAAGCATCGAAGCAACACAAGGCGACTCAAACATGTGGCTCCGCGTGAGACTACGCAGACCCGTGGTCTTTTTTCTCCCTGTTCAGTTTCAATCTTCTTTTTCATTTGCCGACTTCTCTTTTTTTTTTTTCTTTCCCGCCTCGATTAACACGATGCATCACACGCACGTTAAGAAACGCGGACTTGTACGTGCAGTCCGATTATTTACATTGTACTTTGCGGAATGATTGCAACACGCACTCGAGCATCGTCGACTACGATGACGAATCTGCGACCATAATCTACAAAAATTCTTACTGCAATGTATATCGTAGCTCCACGCGATGTTCTAAGATAGCTACTACTCGAGAGGATAATTGCCACGACGTTTACGTTCCATCCAAAATAATTCGAGAATTGTTAAACTTTAAACGAGAAACAAAATTCGGGTAAAAGGAGGATTGGAGGTTCCTTCGTTGTTTGGAGAATTTACGGTATAAGAATCGCGAGGATACGCGAAACCAACGAGGGGGGATATTGGTTCATAATTTGCCACAGATCATCGCAGGATTAACGCATACTCGAATTAACTCGATTATCATTACCACACCACAGCGAGATATTTATCTTTCCTCCCCCGATATAAGCCCGAGCCGAAGTGAAACTACAACGGAGCCATCGAGCGATCGATTTAGCCGTTTATCAATTAATCTTATCGACGTGCTCGGTATATGCCTATAACGAATTCCCGTTTTAATCACGTACAGCAAGCTATACTTTCGAAACGGCGGGCCTCTGCCTCGACGTCTGCTTCGTTAATAGCGAGTTAATTGCATCAGGTACTAGGGAATCCCTTTTTTCCGCCACTTTGCGCTCAGCCAAGGAAAAAGAGAAAGAGAGAAGAAGGGAAAACGCACACGGTGAAACTGGAGAAATAAAAGGAAGCTTTTTAATAAAATACAATGTTCATTACGTTGACATGGTAGAATTTTAACCACCAGGCTTAAATCAATCGTATCTACGTTTTCTTTTTTTTTTTTTTTTTGTTTTTTTCTTTCTGTTGAATGATACGGCATTGGAGGAGGAAACGAGGA